GGGGGAGGGTGGCGGGTATGATGGATTAGGGTAAAAGTTGTGATTTATATTTGACTATGTTTATTATATCCTAATAAAAATGTGTTTTTTTTAAAAAAAAGAAACAAACAAACTCAAAGCTGCATTTGCCACAAAGTCGGGTTGGGCTTCCTCGACCCATTTTACCGACAGACGTGACATTGGGGAACTAATATTCAAAAGTGCTCAGGTCTCTGCTGCCTGACCTCCCTCACATGTGTGAACGAGGGCTACAAGGTGTTCTGCCTGTACAGCGCTTGACATCACCTTTCTATACTGCTCCAACGTGCTACTGGAGCTATTACATTCAGTACGGCATTCCATCTGTTTTTGGTTACCTCAAATCCGTTAGGGGCTTGTCCCTCTTGTCCGGGCATAGAAGTCGTTGTCCCCAGGAATCCAAACATCTTATCCACCATGTCGGAGTCATTCACCGGCTCGTTTCGGGCCTTCTCCATCTTCTCCAAGAACTCCTTCTTCCGCCGAGTTTCTTCTTTTTCCTTTACTTCCCTCTCGGCGTCTTCCCGAGCTAGCTGGGCCAGGCGTATCTAGGAGAGAAGAATTGTGCCAAAGAGTCAGTGCGAATTCAGGATGGAGCCAAAGATCAAGGAAAGGGCCCCTGGGAGAGCTGTGAGGCTCTGTTCTCACAAGGTGAGATCTTAGGGCACCACCCTTCCTCACTGTGGTACGACGGCCTGGCAAAATAGGCCCACCATTTTGAAATCTTTGCTCCTGTGTCTGACGCGCACGCACAAAAGAGCAGCACAAGGATGACTCGGGTCCATTCTGCCTCTGGCGTTCGCTCCACGTTTTATCAGCACTCGACCTGGTTCCCCCTTGCCTCGGAATATCTGTTTTCATTGCATTGCCTTGGATCATTGGTATGCAAATTTCCCTGTGTCAGTGCTTGCCTCAGCGATCATTAGCCACCTGAGCCAAGTAATTCATGGCAAGGTGATAAACACAGAGGGGAAATAGGGGCGGGGGAACTGAAGGAGATCAGTGAAAACAAGTTCTGCAAAGACAGAAAGGAAAGGTATTGACCTACTTGGTGCTTCTTCTCGGCTTCCTCTTTGGCTTTCTTTGCGCTCATTTCTTTCCTGAGCCGTTCCTCTTCCATTAGCCGCAGTTTTTCTGCTTCCAGACGGCGGCGGTACTGAGAAAACAAATGCAAAAACACAGCTTGAATTGACAATTTAGGCAGTCTGGAATGGGCCAGTTATGCAATTCAGTGGCAATGCAGCGTTCAATGGACCAGCTACACAGTTCTTAATGGAATGACTGTGTGGTCAATAAGACTATGAGGTCTCGAATGACTACGCAGGGTTGAAAGCAACACAACTATGCAATCCTGAATGGACCAAGGATGCAGTCACATGATCTTGAATGGACCAGTTGTGAAGCAGAGTTGATGATGTGGTCTTGGATGGACCAGTTATGCACTCTCAAACAATGCAGTCAACCATGGTCTGAATGCACCAGCTATGCAATTGACTGACCGCACAGTCCACAATTCAACACTTCAGCAGGTGCCAACCTGCACATGGGCAAAATCAACAACTGTCCACCCACGTGCCTTCTCCGTTGTGGCCCCATCTTGCGGAACGGCCAGCCCAAGAAGATCAGGGGCAGTTAACATCTGAATCCCAGAGCCAGGAGGCAACATCAAGGGAAGGCCTCGGCCTCCATGCCCTGTTGTTGGCCCTCCAGAGGACCTGGTTGGCCACTGTGTGAGACAGGATGCTGGACTAGACGAACCACTGGTCTGATCCAGCAGGGCCCTTCTTAAGTTCTTATCAGGGGAAGGCCTCAGTCTCTATGCCTTGCTGTTGGCCCTCCAGAGGAACTGGTTGGCCACTATGTGAGATGGGGATGCTGGACTAGACGAACCACTGGTCTGATCCAGCAGGGCTCTTCTTATGTTCTTATCAAGGGAAGACCTCAGCCTCTGTGCCCTGTTGTTGGCCCTCCAGAGGATTTGGTTGGCCACTGTGTGAGGCAGGATGCTGGACTAGATGGACCACTGGTCTGATCTTGCAGGGCTCTTCCTATGTTCTTATCAAGGGAAGGCCTTGGCCTCCATGCCCTGTTGTTGGCCCTCCAGAGGAACTGGTTGGCCACTGTGTGAGATGGGGATGCTGGACTAGACGAACCACTGGTCTGATCCAGCAGGGCTCTTCTTATGTTCTTATCAAGGGAAGGCCTCAGCCTCTGTGCCCTGTTGTTGGCCCTCCAGAGGATTTGGTTGGCCGCTGTATGAGACAGGATGCTGGACTAGATGGACCACTGGTCTGATCTTGCAGGGCTCTTCCTATGTTCTTATCAAGGGAAGGCCTTGGCCTCCATGCCCTGTTGTTGGCCCTCCAGAGGAACTGGTTGGCCACTGTGTGAGATGGGGATGCTGGACTAGACAGACCACTGGTCTCAACCACGAGGACTCTTCTGATGTTCTTCTGAATCCCTTCCCTCCACCAATCTGCCTAATCCCCTTTTAAAGCCACGTATGCCTGTGGCCATCACTACATCCTCTGGCAGCAGATTCCACATTTTAATCACTCGCTGTGTAATGAAGTATTCGGAACACAGCCTGTAAGGAAAGGGTCATGCACGCGCTCTCCCCGACTCCTGCACCCAAGGGTCATTTCTTGCAGGAGCGCACAGGAGCGGGACTCTGGCAGTAAAGAGCCCAGGGGGCGGGCACATGCAGCAATCCAAAAGAGTCCAGTGGCGCCTGAGCGGTGGGTGTTGCCTTCCGACACACTTCTGGTGATGTCAGGGGGTGTGGCATATGTAAATAAGGTATGCTAATGAGTTATGCTAATGAGTTCCTGCACCTCTTTTTCTACGAAATGACCCCTGGCTGCACCAGTAATATTCAGACTCACCATAGTTTTGTAAAAGTAAAAAGGTAAAGGTTCCCTTGCTCGAAAGCCAGTCGAATCCGACTCTAGGGTTGCGGTGCTCATCTCCGTTTCAAAGCCGAAGAGCCAGCGCTGTCCGAAGACGTTTCCGTGGTCATGTGGCCGGCATGACTAAACACCAAGGCGCACGGAACGCTGTTACCTTCCCACTGAAGTGGTACCTATGTATCTACTTGCAATTTCTTGCTTTCGAACGGCTAGGTTGGCAGGAGCTGGAACTAGAGACGGGAGCTCACTCCGTCATGCAGCACACTCGGGTCTCGAACTGCTAAACTACTGACCTTCCACAGCCTGCAGTTCAGCGTCTTAACCACTTGAGCCACCGCAGCTCCTTTTGTAAAAGTACAAATAAATAAATGGCAAGAGAGACTTTACATCTGGCTGCTTGTTCAGTTTACAGGACACCTACCTCGCCCTTCAAGCGCCTGAACAGGCGGCGAGCGATCATACCCCTGGCGTAGGCCTGGATGGTAAAAACAGCCCAAAGGCGATGGCGGAAAGCCCGACGCACCAGGTAACCCCGACACCTCGCTTGGAACTCAATGATGCGCTTGCGGGCCATGTAGTACTGCTTATGGAGCTTGCGGGAACGGTAGAGAGCCTGCAGCCGCAGGAAACCGATCCTCATCTGTACAAGGAAAAGAGGTGATGGACGCCAGTCATTTACAGCAGGGACACCTTCAGACTTCACAGCCTTTCGCAAGTTCTGTCTGAATATCCTCATTTCAATTTTGCATCTCTGTTGTGTGAATTAAACCTAAGAGCTTTTGTTTTTTGTGCCCTTTTTCATTTCATCCTGCTGAGGGTATTTTTTGTAAACTGTATGCATTTTTCAGCTTTAGAGAGTGGACTGTATGGAATTACATCTCTGTTGATCTCCCTCCTGCCCCCAGATCCTAAGTAAGGGTCAAGGTTTCCCTTGCTCGAAAGCCAGTCGAATCCGACTCTAGGGTTGCGGTGCTCATCTCCGTTTCCAAGCCGAAGAGCCAGCACTGTCCGAAGGCGTTTCCGTGGTCATGTGGCCGGCATGACTAAACACCAAGGTGCATGGAACGCTGTCGCCTTCCCACCGAAGCGGTACCTATCTATCTACTTGCAATTTCTTGCTTTTGAACTGCTAGGTTGGCAGGAGCTGGGGCCAGAGACGGGAGCTCACTCCGTCACGCGGCACACTCGGGTCTCGAACTGCCAAACTGCCGACCTTCCGGTCTGCAGCTCGGCGTCTTAACCTCTGAGCCACTGCAGCCCCAGATCCTGCCCTCCCCCAAATCTCCAGGAAGTAACCATGCTGGAGTTAGCAAGCCTCATTTGAATGATTGTCTGCAAGGCAAATTCTGGTTGCACAAGCTTTGTTGTTGTGAAACCAGGGTTTCGCATTATGTCTGAACTGATTCAAGAGATGCCAGGTGACATTTTTTCGTGAGTATTTGTGTGTGGTGTGTGCGCGCGTGCCTGGAAGTCATGGCTGACTTCTGGTGATGCCTAGTGGGGCTTGGACATTTCAGAGCGGTGGCTTGATATTGCCTCCCTCTGCGTCCCGGCCCTGGCATTCCATGGAGGTCTCCCTTCCAAGGGCCGGCCCTGCTTAGCTTCTTAGATCTGACAAGACTGGGCTTGCCTGGGCTACCCAGGTCAGGGTGAGCTTTCAGGTGATTCTGTGGCCCCCACTTCCACGTGCAGAAGGTCCCAGGTTGACTCCCCGGCATCTCCCAATGGGAACGGTTTCAGAACGCAGGGCCTACTATGACCCTGAACTGCTGCTACCAGTCAAAGCGACCTCTTCAGACCTATAGAGACCGGAACTCTGACTCTACACATAAAGGTAAAGGTTTCCCTTGCTCGAAAGCCAGTCGAGTCCGACCCTAGGGGGCAGTGCTCATCTCCGTTTCTAAGCCGAAGAGCCAGCACTGTCCGAAGACTCTTCCGTGGTCATGTGGCCGGCATGACTAGACGTCGAGGCGCACGGAACGCTGTTACCTTCCCACCTATTGATCTACTTGCAGTTTCTTGCTTTCAAACTGCTAGGTTGGCAGGAGCACTTGGGTCTCGAACTGCCGAGCTACCGACCTTCCGGTCGGCAGCTCTGCGTCTTAACCTCTGAGCCACCGCGGCCCTTTGCACGTATACTTACCGCATCGTAATTCCGCCGACAGTTATGCCCCCTCCAGTTTCGCTGAATCATCAAAACCGCATTCCTCACTTTCAGGAAGTTGGACCTGGAAAGAGATTGGCGTAAGCCCCTGGGCGTGTAGGTCTTCCCCACCCCCTTTCTTTTTAAGAACTGACCCGGAAAGAACCCTAATTTTTGAAATAGATTTCAGCGGACAGGTAGAGAGACCT